TTTTAAAGTTGAAAACTTTCATTTGGTTTTGAGTCGTTTCTGTTTTCCTGATTTTATTTAAACTAAAAGGAAACAACTAAATGTTTCCATGGCTGCAGTCAGAACAACGATGAGACCAGAATAAAAAACTGTCTGGAACCAGAACCCACCCAGAACCAGAACCAAAGTTTCCCAGGTTGAGCAGAAACTGATCGGATCATTTGACTGAAACACAAACAGAATAAAATCAACATGATTACATTTGGAGGGTTAGCTTTATATTTTATAGATTAAACATCAAAAATGTTCTTAGAGCTTGGAGTCATAATGTGTTTAGTGAAGGTTCAAAGGTCAGGCAGATGCTAGCTTAGCTTAGCATTTGTTAGCGACAGGAAGAGTCAGGAAAACAAACAGTTAAAATGTGTTGAAAGATTTTTTCTGATTTTTTCAGGACAAGAACGTTGAACTGAATCAACTGGAGGTAAATTTATCAGCTTCATGCATCAGAGAATATTCTTTCATTCTGACATAAAAACATTTAGACAATTTAAATGAGCTGCAATATCCTGGAAAACTTGCAGCATATTGAAGGTTTTCACCACTAAAGACTGTGGTGGAAAATAATATCTGATGATCATGATGTGAAATACCTGTGAACTGGAAGCTTGGATCAGAACCAGAACTTCTCACCTTCGGATCCTTGGTTTAAACTCACATGGCAGCTTTGATCAGACCTGCTTCATTATTGATCGTCCTCCAGGCTCTTTATGTTGAGCACAATATATGAATCAACCTGACTGAGAGAAAATAGGTTTTTTTCCACAAGACCTCTAATTTGTTTTGGAGGTCTTTATTATTGCTGAAGACCTCCAATTTGTTATGACTGTGTTATGACATCACATGACACAATCACTTCAGTGATGTCACAAGTAGTTGTAATAACTGTTTCCTGGTTTCTGATGTTTCGTCTAAATTTTCTGTTTTTATTTTTTCAGGAATCGTCGCGTTTGGTGGGTAAAGAGAAAAACACGAAACCCTGATCAAGTTAAACTTTGAGTCCAGATCATTTTTATCTTTCATTTTTATATTTCAGTCTCAGAAATCTTGCATAGAAATATTTTTCTGCTCCTTTGACTTTTATGTTTTATTTTAGTTCAGCTCTTTAGTTTATTTAGTTTTATTGTTTGTTATGTTTCCTCGTTTCCAATCATCTGTTTCTTCTTCACTGATCAACTCAGTAAAAATAAACTTAAATAAACTTATTCTCAGTTCCTCTCAGTAAATCTCATTATTTTCTGTTTGCCACTGAAATCATTTCAATAACCAGAGCAGTGAAGGAAGCATCATGCTGAGGGACGCTGTCCATGTGAGGACGGATCTGTGGCCCTCGAAACGTCCTGCAGCAGGTCAATCGTTACGTCAACTTGTGGAAACACAGCTGGAGGTCAAAGGTCAAAAGGTGAAGCCGCTCCATCCTGTAACGCTACAGAAAATCATCTAAATAAATATTTAAGGCTCCAGCTGCCGCAGAATTATTTACAAACTCCTTAATAACCTGGAGGTCAAAGGTCATGCTGACATGACAGCTAACATCATTGAGCAGGTTCGAGCTCAGGATCACATGAATGAACCACTGGGCTTCAGGTTTTAAATAGGACATGTGGTCAGAAAAGACCAAACAAAATGTAAGAAACCAGTTGATCCAGTGGACAGGGGGGGCAGCCCTGGTGTCCTGCAACTGCTGGACGTCTCCCTGGTCCAAGGATCACCTCCGACTGCAGTCAGGTTCTCCAGAGTCCTGCTAATGACGTCATTATTTGACTCAGGTGTGTGGAAGTGGCCCAGCCCTGATCTAAAGGAACATTTCAGTTCAAGTTTAGTTTGCGCTGAACACGCCCTTTTTGTCCACCAGAGGGCGATGCAGGCTCAGTGAGTAGAGTCGTGCTTCTTTAGTTTTAACCCTACAGCTGCATACAATGTAATTAACTGTAAATTAATTAACTTTATTCACAAGATGTAACAGCTGCGTTATATTCAAACCTCTAAATTAGAATGAAACTTTTCTAAACGTCTTTTAACCTTCAGGTTTTCTATTGGAGCTCAGCGAGTCACATGACCGGAAATGAACAAGTCGGTTTTTCACAAATTTTTTAGACTAATTTTGCTCATTTATCTTTATTTTGTGATGCAAAACAACAGAAGTGATTTGCAAACTAGACTTTCTTCTCACCGTGTTTGATTCATGAGATAAAATGTGACATTTTTCCGAACTGTGAGTGAAACTGGAATGGTCCGGATTCCACTGGTTTCCTCCCCAGAGGTGCAGCTGATAATGCTGTTTGGTGTTTAAGTGGATGGTATCTGCCCTGTTATCTGCCCCTCTGCCCCATTATCTGCCCCACTGCCCCGTTATCTGCCCCACTGCCCCGTTATCTGCCCCACTGCCCCGTTATCTGTCCCACTGCCCCGTTATCTGCCCCTCTGCCCCATTATCTGCCCCACTGCCCCGTTATCTGCCCCACTGCCCTTATCTGCCCCACTGCCCCGTTATCTGTCCCACTGCCCCGTTATCTGCCCCTCTGCCCCATTATCTGCCCCACTGCCCCGTTATCTGTCCCACTGCCCCGTTATCTGCCCCTCTGCCCCATTATCTGCCCCACTGCCCCGTTATCTGCCCCACTGCCCCGTTATCTGCCCCACTGCCCCGTTATCTGTCCCACTGCCCCGTTATCTGTCCCACTGCCCCGTTATCTGCCCCACTGCCCCGTTATCTGCCCCACTGCCCCGTTATCTGTCCCACTGCCCCGTTATCTGCCCCTCTGCCCCATTATCTGCCCCACTGCCCCGTTATCTGCCCCACTGCCCCGTTATCTGTCCCACTGCCCCGTTATCTGTCCCACTGCCCCGTTATCTGCCCCTCTGCCCCATTATCTGCCCCACTGCCCGTTATCTGCCCCACTGCCCGTTATCTGCCCCACTGCCCGTTATCTGTCCCACTGCCCCGTTATCTGCCCCTCTGCCCCATTATCTGCCCCACTGCCCGTTATCTGCCCCACTGCCCCGTTATCTGCCCCACTGCCCCGTTATCTGTCCCACTGCCCCGTTATCTGCCCCTGCTGCCCGTATCTGCCCCCCCCCCGTTATCTGCCCCACTGCCCCGTTATCTGCCCCACTGCCCCGTTATCTGCCCCACTGCCCCGTTATCTGCCCACTGCCCCGTTATCTGTCCCACTGCCCCGTTATCTGCCCCTCTGCCCCATTATCTGCCCCACTGCCCCGTTATCTGTCCCACTGCCCCGTTATCTGCCCCACTGCCCCGTTATCTGCCCCACTGCCCCGTTATCTGCCCACTGCCCCGTTATCTGCCCCCTGCCCCTTATCTGCCCCACTGCCCCGTTATCTGCCCCACTGCTGCCCCGTTATCTGCCCACTGCCCCGTTATCTGTCCCACTGCCCCGTTATCTGCCCCCTGCCCCGTTATCTGCCCCACTGCCCCGTTATCTGCCCCACTGCCCCGTTATCTGCCCCACTGCCCCGTTATCTGTCCCACTGCCCCATTATCTGCCCCACTGCCCCGTTATCTGCCCCACTGCCCGTTATCTGCCCCACTGCCCCGTTATCTGCCCCACTGCCCCGTTATCTGTCCCACTGCTCCGTTATCTGTCCCACTGCCCCGTTATCTGCCCCACTGCCTTGTTATCTGCCCCACTGCCCTGTTATCTGCCCCACTGCCCCGTTATCTGCCCACTGCCCCGTTATCTGCCCCACTGCCCTTTATCTGCCCCACTGCCCCGTTATCTGCCCCACTGCCCCGTTATCTGTCCCACTGCTCCGTTATCTGTCCCACTGCCCCGTTATCTGCCCCACTGCCCTGTTATCTGCCCCACTGCCTTGTTATCTGCCCCACTGCCCTGTTATCTGCCCCACTGCCCCGTTATCTGTCCCACTGCTGTTATCTGTCCCACTGCCCCGTTATCTGCCCACTGCCCTGTTCTGCCCCACTGCCTTGTTTATCTGCCCCACTGCCTTGTTATCTGCCCCACTGCCCTGTTATCTGCCCACTGCCCCGTTATCTGCCCCACTGCCCCGTTATCTGCCCCACTGCCCCATTATCTGCCCCACAGCCCTGTTATCTGCCCCCTGTTTTTGGCTTAATGGTGTAAATTTAAAGCTGAAATGAGGAATCGGGTCCGGTTGAGACGTCGGGTCACATGTTCTCATCTCTTTGCAATGAATTAATTAATCTGTAATTATAAATATTCAATAATCTCACATTTTACCAAAGACTTTTTTTTACGTTTATTTAATCTCATTTCTTTCTACTGGAGTAAAAATTTTGAAGCAAAGATTTTGAATGAATGTTCTCCAACCAACCAACACTGATAATAAATAAAGTCTTTTAATGTCAGTTCTGTTGATATATCCAGAGTACAGACAGATAAATACAAGAACAACATCCACTTCCTGTTTTCATTCAAGTACAACAAACACTTCAGTGCTTTCTGAGCCGTTGGAAGATTTCTAATTTAACAGCATGGACGTTCACTGGAAGAATACCATCATGCAGGTCAGGATATTGCAGAGAACTTTGGCTTAAAAACAACGACGATAGTTTAAGTAGCAGACCTGAACGCAGCACAACGTCCTGGGTGTGCAGACCGGCCGCTCGGCTCGGCCGATCAGGAGCTGCCCGAGTTACATTCAGCAGTCAGACGGAGAGAACGTGGCTGGAACCAACGCCGCTACCAATCAGAGACGACCCGCACAGGAAACAGAAACCTGCTGCTCTATGGAATGCTTTTATTTTGAAAAAATCCACTGCTTTCGGCTTTCTGGCCTCACAAACCGACACGTTTCAGTCAAAAACTCGATCGCGTTAACGAGTTCTTCCTCTATTGCTAAACTCGACCCATTGATTATTGAGTATAAAAATATTACTAACAGGTTTCTAAACCATCTGGACACCAGGAAGCCCCGCCCACTGACCTCTGAACTCTACAGGATGGAATCAGGAACGAAGAGCTTCTGATCAGACGGCGACACGATCAGATTAACAGTCAGGATGCTGGAAAACCCAGAGAGACCGGACAGGGAGAGCATGCAATCTGCCCCGTTACCTGCCCCACTGCGCAGCTATCTGCCCCATTGCACAGCTATCTGCCCCACTGCACAGCTATCTACCCCACTGCGCAGCTATCTACCCCACTGCGCAGCTATCTGCCCCACTGCGCAGCTATCTGCCCCACTGCGCAGCTATCTGCCCCACTGCACAGCTATCTGCCCCACTGCGCAGCTATCTGCCCCACTGCGCAGCTATCTACCCCACTGCGCAGCTATCTACCCCACTGCGCAGCTATCTGCCCCACTGCGCAGCTATCTGCCCACTACTGCGCAGCTATCTACCCCACTGCGCAGCTATCTACCCCACTGCGCAGCTATCTGCCCCACTGCACAGCTATCTGCCCCACTGCGCAGCTATCTACCCCACTGCGCAGCTATCTACCCCACTGCGCAGCTATCTGCCCCACTGCACAGCTATCTGCCCCACTGCGCAGCTATCTACCCCACTGTACAGCTATCTGCCCGTTATCTGCCCCATCATATCAATCTGTACCTGGGAATCCAGCTGGTTTACTGTAAATTTTGTCACTGAGTTTCATCGTAACAGAAACATTAACACAGGAAGCAGCAGAGAACTTTCACAATAAGAGTCCAGATGGCTTCGTCCAGCAGAAATGTTATTAACCAGATGTGGAACGCACCTGGTCGTTCCACCTGGTGACAGGCCAGAAACCCGTTAGCAGTTAACGAGCTAAACGCTAACCTGGACCTGTTCCGCTGTCAGGTCATGTGACCTGGAACTGGAACCAGGTGACTGGTTCCTGGAATCACCTGTCAGGGACCCGTTCCACCTGCAATGTGACATCATCATGATGATGTCATAAGCTGGAGATGATGCTCCTGGTCTGCCATGTTTGGATTTTAAGTCTTGGAAGACAGAAGCTGATTGGTTTGTTTCTGAAACATGCTGCCCTCTGATTGTCGGTAGCTGCTATGATTCATTATTGCATCGTCTGTAAACAAGTTTTCTTCACATTCCGGTCATCTGTAGTGTTTTCTTTGTTTCACCTCAGTAGTCTCAGCGCCTTCAAAGTAAAATGTCACTTCCTGTGGTCATTTTCCGTTCAGATGGCTCCGCCTCCTTCAGTGTCAGAAGAGCAGACTCCGCCTCCGCGTCGGGCTGGTAGCTGCTAACAGAAAACGTTTCAACATCACAAACCTAAAGCTGACACTTCTGATTCCTGGTGACCTGCTTCACCTCTGACCCTCACTGCTCTGATGTTTTACTGAAAGGTCTAACGGTGTCCGTTGGACCAGGTTAAAGTTCTGCAACCGGAACAGATCGGACCTGATCTTCCAGAACCAAAGTTCGGAGGAATCTGGTTTGTGTTTGAGGTTCTACCAGAACCATGTTTCCCTCAGGAACCTCAGGCTACCTGGTGAACACCGCTAATGCTAAAGTGCTATACCAACATGCTATATGGCAGAAGCTAATGCTAAACGCTAACTCAACCATGTTGACACCGACCATAAGTGGTGGGCACTGCTAGCTAAAGAGCTAGCTGCACACTAATTATAATCATATGAATGCTAAAGCACAAAGCTAAAAATTAGCTCTGCTGTTAGCAGAAGTAGCGCCCAATCCAAACGGGACCCCCAGGTGTTGACGGTTACCTGGATCAGGAGCTGCCGGCGGCCTCACGCTCTCCTTCTCCAGCTGGATCTCCGACAGACTGAAGATGGACGCCGCTGAAACGCAACCATGTGACCTTAGTGACATCACAGACAGGAACGGTGTCCAAGGTTCCACTTACTGTCAGGAAGTGATGTCACTCTGTTTCCAAGGTTACTGAAGTAGCGATGTTTCATGGCCTCGTCAGCAGAGATCCTTTTCTTCCCTTCAAACTAAAGTTCAAACACTCATCAGAGCTGCTTCAGCTGTTACCATAGAAACACTGAGGCATTCACTGACCTGCAGGAACTTTGACAGCAGCTCCACTCCTTCACTGCTGAGCCTGGACACAGAGAGGAGGATGATCTCAGCTATCTGAGGGTACCAGCAGGTATTTCAGGGTGTCTGAGTATACCCCAGAAATCACAGAAATACCTGTGGGTATTACTGGGGTATCTGGGTGTACCTGGGAGTATATATGGGCATACCTGAGGGTATTTCTGGTATGTCTGGGCGTACCTGGGGTATTTCTGGTGTACCTGGGGGCATTTCTGGGGTATTTAGGAATACCTGTGGGTATTACTGGGGTATCTGGGTGTACCTGGGAGTATATATGGACGTACCTGAGGGTATTTCTGGGGTATTTCTGGTATGTCTGGACGTACCTGAGGATATTTCTGGAGTATCTGGGCATACCTGAGGGTATTTCTGGGGTATTTGGGTGTACTTGGGGGTATTTCTGGATATCTGGGCGTACCTGGGGGTATTTCTGGGTATCTGGGGGCATT